AAAAAAAAAAAAAAAAAAACTTACACAGTTTACAGTGTTAATTTATCTCTTTATCGAATTTAGGCCTAACTTAAGTTAAAGCTTTATAAAGTACGTACTATATACAAGTGGATTTACACATTTTGTTGTCTGCGATTACAATTAGTTTGTATTGTGCTAGAAATGTTATATCTAAAGAAGTACTCTTACGATAAAGATACTAATTTGGCTGGAAATGTTTTGCGGGTTTCTGCTAGTTTACATTATTTTGTGAGGAATCCAGAGGTATACGCTGAGCTATAGTTGGATAACATTCAAAGAAGTTATGATTTGTTTTTGTCAGTGAAGATTGATGATTTATCTATAAAATAGTCACCATTTCAAACTTTTTGTGAAACCTGTAAGGTACTGCTGAGATAACGAGCCAGAATCTGTAGGTGTTTTTTTTCTTGTCTATATAAAAAAGAGGTGGAATTCAAAGCTAACCTGTAGATGTAAAGAAAGTAGCAAAATGTTCGAGGTATTACAAGTGCAACAGGTGTGGATGCGATCACGATGACACCAATTCTCTCAAAAGTCAGCCGTAAGAGAAGTTAGGGAAGCTTCGGCGGAAGAGGTGCTGTCAAGAGGTGCTACAAAACGTCTCAAAAACGTACGTCTGCGTACAGGAGCGGTGAACTACAGATATATCCGACTTGCTCTTAAATCAGAATGAAAACAGAAGAGTAGAACGATTCAAACGGAGAAAACGAAGGCTTTTTCTGAATGAAGTGCAAGAATATTATAAAGAGAAGAGAGAGAAGTAATAAAATAGTGTCGAAATAGCACGAAGAGAAGTATTAAAATAGTGTCTAAATAACATGGAGAGAAGAGATAGAAGTACTAAAATAGTGTCGAAATAGCACGAAGAGAAGTACTAAAATAGTGTCTAAATAACATGGAGAGAAGAGATAGAAGTACTAAAATAGTGTCGAAATAGCACGAAGAGAAGTACTAAAATAGTGTCTAAATAACATGAAGAGAATGAAGTACTAAAATAGTGTCGAAATAGCATGAAGAGAAGTACTAAATAGTGTCTAAATAACATGAAGAGAATGAAGTACTAAAATAGTGTCGAAATAGCATGAAGAGAAGTACTAAAATAGTGTCTAAATAGCATAAGAGAAAGAGAGTGAAGTACTAAAATAGTGTCGAAATAGCATGAAGAGAAGTACTAAAATAGTGTCTAAATAACACGAAGAGAAGAGAGAGAGAGGTACTAAAATAGTGTCTAAATAACATGGTCATAGTGAACGGGTGGTCCACTAGAATCTCCTTAATGACTACTAAGATAACAAGCACGGTACAATGGAACTTAGATCGTGTTTTACACAGTCATGTACCTCACTCTTGGGCTTACCAAATCTTTCTAGTCAAATTTTCTGCCATTGATTCAGAGATTGTTTCTTAAACTGTCACGAAATAAATCATACTTTGAAATATTATACTTGATATTCAAGGCAACTGCCTTTGCTTATCTTAATCAATTTTTTCAAGCTTTCCGTGAAATTTGATATCGTAGCGTTAGTCTCTGGTATTCTAAACTAATATCTATATGTGAGTTTTCAGATGCCAAACTGCTTGGCATGTATGTAACCTTCTGTAATTTGCAGAAGATGCTTGTGAGTAGTTCAATGCTGATTTTAGTTTTGATAAACAGCTTAAACCTTATCGTGCAATGTTAAGATTGCATGGGAAAAGATTTGTTTTAGTTTGTTTCGAATATTTGCAAAAACCTACACAACAATTCCTTGCATTAGTTGTCCCTAATTTTGGAACTTATAGACTAGAGCAAAGGCAGCGACAACGGGAAACAAACTTTAAAGGTAACAAGACGTGTACATCATATATATACATGGAGGGAGAAAGAGATAATGTAGTAACTATGTAGACGTACATTATCTATTTGCCACGATTATAAAGATTTAGGTCTATTTTTATAATTATAAGTTTTTACGCCTTTAAGTTGAAATTTTAGGTTCATAGAATTTTAAAGAAAATTATTTTATCGAGTTACTATTGTTTTCCTAAATGTGAAAACATTTTTTTCCTTCTTAGATTATCACTGTGAAAGATAACGACAGTCTTGCTGCACACGTAGCTGTGGAGTGTGGTGCTGATGTTCTAATCATGATGTCCAGTGTTGACGGTATCTTTAACCTTCCTCCAGAAGAAGATGATGCTCGCCTTCTTCACACTTATTGTCCTGGAGCTGTTGGAGACATTGTCTACGGTGAAAAGTCTGAATTGGGTTTAGGTGGAATGAATGCCAAAGTAAGGGCAAATTATTATTCTTTTATAATCAAACAGATAAATTATTTTATTGGATAATAAGTGTCATATACACCACTGGTTCCCAAACTATTTCAGTAGATTGTCCCCAAGTACATTCCGCATTCTGATTGAGATACCTTCACTTATTGAATCTATGGATACTGAGTAGCTTAACAATATTTTGTATTATGTTTCATAACAAACCTGTTTAATCTGTTGAGACATTACATGAATTTGAAAAGTATAAATTAGTTCGTGTCGAATTTAGTAAACAAACTAACATCAAGTACAGAGAAGGATATAAATAATTATTCAACAAACATATCTTCCTGTTAAAATTCCTTTTTAATTTCTGTATCACAACTAAAGATATTACTAAGAGTGATGTAAGCAAAGTAACAAATATTTTAATCATTACTGACCAGTTTGGGCAATAAAATGCATGATTATTCTCTCCTTCTTGTCCGCTTTACTTTCTGTATAAAAAACAAACAAAAACACTTTCCATCTAGTTTCAATACTAATGAGACATTGTAGAATAGGATGCAACTGGTAGTTTAGTTTCTAGCCATGTGAAATTGTTAACATTTTATATAGTTGAAAACTAAAAAACACAATACACATTTAATAATTCAACTACACAGTTATGGCTGTGTTTTATTATTTCATGAATTTGTTCACAGTACCATTAATGAACTTGCGAAACATTTTTACGCTCATACTTTATGCTATGTTTAGGAAATGAAAAACTAGTTTCGTAAAACATTTGAACTGAGATATGATGAACCTTGTTAATTTCTGGAAACAGTTGATTAAAAAAAATATATGGATATGTGAGAGTGTTATCACATCCAAATATAACACTTAATTGCAATGTTACAAGTCCTATTAGATCGCCTTTTATATAATTAGAACTAGGATCCAAATATACACAGTTGAATTGTTTCTTATGGCGTTAATAAGATTTGGTGACAGATATTTAGCACTAATAACGCACACAGTAGGGAAGCGAAACTTTGGGAATAGATACAGCAAGGCGTATAGAAGAAATTCAAGCAAACAGTTGTCACTAAAGGGAAACGCCTGACTTTGCATGAGGAAAAACAGCTTCTATTATAAAAGCTGGCTGCAGAACTATAAGAATATTTTTGTAATGGTTGCGATATGTTGTGGACACTTAATATTCGAATTACGTCCGTACGTCATTATTATATCAATAAGGAGATTAATAATAATAAAGGAACGATTGAAAGGAGTAAAGAAGAAATAAAATGCTTACAGCCCCGTTAGGGTATTACATGACATTGTGAATATTACTGTTTAGTGAAATGCATTCCTTGTATTTATTTCTTATCCATACAGTTTTTTACTTCGATAATAAAACAACTTTGCATTTCGACTTATCTTCCCGAAAGAGGGCCGAAAACCGTTTGGAGGGGTCACCTATTTTAACGTATTGCACCACTATACCGTAATGTGTTGTCTATCGGTCAAGCAGTAGACATTCAAATTACGTCACGTAAGGGACGCTTACCTTTACAAGTTGTACTGTTGTGACGTCAGTAAAACGTGTGCATATTATCAATCACGTGAACAATTATGCACTCTGTAGGCTATAACACAACATGACATATGAATTTCAAAAGCAAGGAATAAAAATATCTATTACTCTTAATTTTAGTTTTGTAGTTTTAACTGTAGTTTTATTTACTTTTGAAACAGAACACTTTCGTCGACCCCGCGGAAGTACATATCGATATATATATATATGTGTGTAATACAAATGTTATTTGAACAACATAGCATGTAGCATAGCATCAGACAGTGTCTGATGAACTAGTGATTAAACGACGTTTCGTTCGATTGGTGAAGATACATGGAAGTGGATCGAAAGGTTGTTTAATCCACCAGGAAGGTTGTCTATTTTAAAATATTCAATATTTCAGCTAGTGGCGCCGTTAATAGATCTCGACAAGAGCACCGTTGGTGGCTCGCTAAATGATTTGGTTTGTTTTAAATATCGCGCAAAGCTGCTCGATGGCTACCTGCGCTAGCCATCCCTACTTTAGCAGTGATAGACTAAAGGGAAGACAGCTAGTTAACACCACCCACCGCTAACTCTTGGGCTACTCTATTACCAACGAGCAGTTGTATTAACCGCCACATTATAACGACTCCACTGCTGAAAGGGCGATCATGTCGGTGACGGACATTCGAACCTGCGACTGCAGATTATGAGTCGAGCGCCCTAATCACCATTCCAGGCTCTATAATCTATTTCCGCCTACGTGCATGCTAGTATCTCCGGAATAATCGTCGCAATTCCGTTTATTATTGGGACACGTAATATTCTAATATCCGGTACCTTAGTTTGATAGACTATACCCTTCCCATACCTTACCTAAATTAGTTGTAAACAGTTGCGGTTTGCGGCATGTGGGATTCCAATGTCTGACGATTTTACCATTAGAATATTGTGTGTAACAGTTAAAAAGATAACAGAAAAACTGCAGTAAATGGAAAAAATTGACAGTAGACTTGAAATTAGAGAAAAAAAGTTTCAACACATACATGCGTCCTCTTCAGTCTGACGTTTTCTTCATAAAAGTCTTTTGTTAGTTTGTTTCGCTTACTGTGGTTTTTACACTAGCTTTTTAACTGTTACAACGATATTTATTTCTAGAGGTAAAACCCGCAGACGTCAGTCTCCCACGTGTCACAAACCATAACTGTTTATCTGGTTCCGTTCCTAATCTATTCAATTAAGAAAGTGGTTCAAAAATTTATGAACAAACTATAATTTATGTTGTTCTAAGAAAGAAAATAAGTAAAAACAGACCTGAAAGTATTTATTTATTTGATGAGAACCAGAAGAGGCAGTGAGGGTACCAATACTAAAACAAAACGTTTGAGTCGTTTCAATATCAAGACATTAGTGGTCAAAATACATAATGTAGATATTAGAAATCTCTAACACTAAAGAGATCAACTGGAGCTCAGTTCTTTATATTAAGTACTGGTTTGCAAGTATTAAGGTGAAATAGGTTCTCTCTTATACCATAAATATGTATTGTCGTACGATTCAATCCCTTTGTGAGCAATAATGTAATGTAATTCTTTACATAGCCCTGTAAAGCTAAGCCTAAAAAATTACAAACAAAGAAATTAAACACAAGTAGCCCACTATTTCTTAGTATTTTGAAACAATTATTATTAATGTAAAAGTCTATCGTTTCATGAGAAGTACTATTACAATGTTTCTGGTAATTAACGATATTTAATTTATTTACAGGTAAAAGCCGCCAGTTGGGCTTTAGACAGAGGTGTATCTGTGATTATATGTAACGGAATGCAAGAAAACGCCATTTTAAAGATCATCCAGGGAAAACGTGTTGGAACATTTTTCACGAATCACAAAAGCAGGTCAACTCCAGTAGATGTGATGGCAGTAAACGGTAAATTACCACAGAACTTGATGGGCTGTTTATTCTTGACTCTCCCTATTTTTGTAATCTGTAACCTGATTAATTGTAATTTTTGTAACCTGAAAAACAATAGTTTCGTTTTAAGTTAAAAACATTATTTTCGTTGTTTGAAAACGTAAGAAAAGAAACTCAATAACCTGAGCGCTTTCGGAAAATGGGCTCTTTTTCATCAAAGTACTTATTTGAAAACATCTTGTTTGTATTGTATATTTTGAAATATGATTGATAGAGAGAAATTTATATATGCATATGGGATACATATACAGTGCCTTGCAAAGGTATTCACCCCTACCAATAATGAAATATTTTAATGAAATACAAATAATGTAAACAATTTTTCAAATTAACTTAACACTTTTCTGTGTGAAGAAGGTTGAATATCAGCAAAACCTGAAAAGAAAACATATATAAATTAAAATTTGCTGATTGCATAAATATTCAGTCCCTTAAGTCAGTACTTGGGGGAAGCACCTTTGGCAGCAATTACTGCTGTGAGTTATTTTGGATAGGTTTCTACCAGCTTTACACAGTGGGATGGTGTAACTTCTGCCCATTCTTCCTGGCAAAATTGCTCCAATTCTGACATGTTCGTTGAGGATCGTAGATGGACTGAATCTTCATGTCTCGTCATAAATATTCCATTAGATTCAAGTCAGGAACTTTAATTGGGCCACTCCAGGACATTCACTTTCTTCTTTTGAAACCACTCCAGTTTAGCTTTGGCCTTGTGTTTCAGGCCATTGTCCCACTGAAATGCAAATTTTCGATCCAGGTTTAGATTCTTGGCTGACTCAATCAGATTTTTCTCTAGAATTCACCTGTACTTTGTACCATCCAACTTCCTTTCAACACTAACAAGCTTCCCAGTCCCTTCTGATGAGAAGCATCCCCATAGCATGATGCTGCCCCCACCACGCTTGACAGTTGGGATGGTGTTGACTGGGTGATATGCTGTGTTGGGCTTGCGCCAGATGTAATGCTTTGAATTTGGACCAAAAAGATCAATGTTTTTCTAGTCTGACCACAAACTTTTCTACCACATGTCTGCAGTATTATTTATATGTTTTGTCGCAAACTCAATACGAGATGTAAGATGATTATTTTTCAATAATGGCTTCTTTCTTACCACTCGCTCATACAGGCCAGCTCTGTGTAGAGACCGTGACATTATCGATGTATGAACACTGACTCCCATCTCAGATATGGAACATTGCAAGTCTTTCAAAGTCACTGTTGGCTTCACAGCGGCATCTCTAACCAGTTTCCTGCTTGTACGGCTGCTTAGTTTGGAAGGGTGGCCTGATCTGAGTCGCGACTCGGTGGTATGAAGTACTTTCTACTTCTTAATGATGGACTTCACCGTACTCAAAGGGATAATCAGAGATTTTGAAATGTTCTTGTAATCTTCTCCTAAACTGTGCTTCTCTACCACTTTATCCCTGACCTGCTTGGAAAGCTCCTTGGTCTTCATGGTTGGTTTGTCGTATCACAATGTGAGTTGTGGCTTTAACAGATGCATTTACTCTGAAGTCAAGTTAAACCACTTTGACTACCATTACATAAATGTTTTGACCTTTCAAACTAATCTTTTACACCTGAACTGATTTATGGTTGCCGTAGCAAAAGGATTGAATACTTATGTAATTGAGATTATTCTAATTTTCTTTGAAAATCTAACTTATACAATATCAGTATTTATTTAGCTTTCTCAGCTAGGAGTAAATTGTGTAGATTCTAAATATAAAGAACCCATTTGAAGGTTTCATGACTGCAAGCTCAGACAACAACAAAATGTGGAAACTTTGCAGGGGTGCGGAACACTTTTGCAAGGAACTGTACATATCTATGTCACCAATGTGAACAGTCAAATACTATTCCTTTCCTGAAATTACCAAATGACCTTGAAATCAGAACCAATGTAGACCAAGTATTAATTTGTATTGTATGTTGCAAAGAAGGAATCTTATTTTTTTGTGTTAGAAATACAAGTGCTATCCACGTATAGCCGTCCCTCAATGTAAACTGTTAGACTGAAGAGAAGTTAGCTAGTCAACATCATCCATCGACAACTTTAGAGTACTCTTAATTGTCCAATCGGAAAAGGGACAGAAATCGGAATCCTCGTATTCACAGTCTGGGCTCTCTAAGTGCCAAGCAGAGAACAAAAACTTTGACCATCACTTAGAGTACATAACAAAACTGTCTGAAAATTATGTTTGGTAGGCTATAAAGTATTTTCTGTTTGTTTGTTTTTTGCTGCTTACCATTAACTAGTCATTACTTACCAAATGATAAATAATTATACCGTTGCAGAAGCTTCAAGACGTTCTTAAAAACTATTTCATCATTCATCGTTATACAAATCAGGCATAATGATAACATTTTATAATGATTAATCAATATATCTCGTTTTGCAATTAAAGAAGTACATTGTTAAAGTAATTGCAAAATAAATAATCCATTAACAACAGCCCGGCATGGCCAGGTGGATAAGGCGCTCGACTCACAATCT